GGGTGGGGCACGCGAGCGTCTTGAGACGCAGAGTCCTGCTCGGCTCGTGCGCTGGCTTTGGCAGTGCTTTCTTTCCCTGTCTCAGCTGAGACGCTGTTTCTATACTCCGCGACAACTTTTCTTGGCAAGGCAGTGGAAGGTACAGGCCCGCGTCCCCTCTCCCATTTTGAGTGTACGCAGGCTCTCCTCCTCCCCCAATTCCGGGGAGAGGAGGAGAGCCCGCGCACACTCAAGATGGGAGAGGGGACGCGGGCCTGTACCTTCCACTGCATTGCCAAGAAAAGTTGTCGCGGAGTATAGCAAGTCGGCCCTGGGTTGGAGCACACGTTCATTTATTCTACACTTGAATATTGGCGTGACGAAAACCTGACATGCGTAAAGTTTTCAGTCACCGAGAGCTAAACCTCTTCACTCTAGCGACGCTAAAACGGCTTAAATTAGTCGTGTCGCATATTTAGAGCACATAACCGCCGCTAGGCGCTGTTTCGCGCCCTGTGGTTGGCCCCGAGATGCTCGCCTATTCAAACCAATGAATGGCCAAACTCTCTCAGTAAACGGCTCTGGACCGAGTGAGACTGGAACGACGTGCGACATTTTCCGAATTGCTACGGCAACCGGGTCTTAAGCCGCTTTCAATACGGTTTAAAACCCTGTTTTCGTTGTAGTCGCACTCGGTCGGACTCAGACAATGTAAAGAATAAAGAATTACGCCAACCAAAAAGTCGAAAAATTGTCCCAACGTTTCGAAACAGTTCGTTTCTTCCTCAGGGGCGACTAAACGGGATAATAGCTTCTTTGTCTTTCTTTGAACTGGCTATCTCTTCTTCTTCATTGTCGATTGCTGGTTGTCTTCGTTTCGCCTGCGCCTTCTTGATTGTATCTCGTAACCCATGAACATATAAACTGGGTAAGGTGCTTAGAGACCTATTGATATTATTTGCGGTGTTTTGAATATGCCAGGATTCTATCAGCTGTCTTCTGCGTAGGTTCGTCTCAGTACCCAGAATGCTTGCATCTTCAAATCCGATACGGTGGTCATTAACTTCACAGTGCTCCGCCAGAGCACTGCGTTCGCGGTCGAAGTTGCGTACGTCATTTTTGTGTTGACGGAGCCGTTCTTGGAAGTTTTTAGTTTCTCCAATGTAGGAGGCGGGGCACTGGGTGCAGGATATTTGGTAAATTTACACCCTGGGCCCTTTCCTTGGGTGGACGACTTTTTGGCCGAGGTAGAAAACGCCCGAGTGTGGTCACAGGTTTATGGGCCACGGTGATGTGTTCTTTTGCAAAAATCCTGGATAGTGTTTCACTTATCCCTTTTGTGTAGGGTATGCTGATGCGTGCAATCGGTTTTAGACGTGCAGTCCCAGTAGGTTGCCCGTCTCGGCGACTGCGGTTTCTCACACTCGGGCGTTTTCTACCTCGGCCAAAAAGTCGTCCACCCAAGGAAAGGGCCCAGGGTGTAATTTACCAAATATCCTGCACCCAGTGCCCCGCCTCCTACATTGGAGAAACTAAAAACTTCCAAGAACGGCTCCGTCAACACAAAAATGACGTACGCAACTTCGACCGCGAACGCAGTGCTCTGGCGGAGCACTGTGAAGTTAATGACCACCGTATCGGATTTGAAGATGCAAGCATTCTGGGTACTGAGACGAACCTACGCAGAAGACAGCTGATAGAATCCTGGCATATTCAAAACACCGCAAATAATATCAATAGGTCTCTAGGCACCTTACCCAGTTTATATGTTCATGGGTTACGAGATACAATCAAGAAGGCGCAGGCGAAACGAAGACAACCAGCAATCGACAATGAAGAAGAAGAGATAGCCAGTTCAAAGAAAGACAAAGAAGCTATTATCCCGTTTAGTCGCCCCTCAGGAAGAAACGAACTGTTTCGAAACGTTGGGACAATTTTTCGACTTTTTGGTTGGCGTAATTCTTTATTCTTTACATTTAAATTCACCCAACCAGGCAGATATCTGCCGAACATGTTTACCTTCAAGGACTCAGACAAGTGTGTGAACCGCCCTTGACATCACCGCAGACGAATGGAGCGAGATCTACATTTGACAGCAAACAGTTCAGCGACAGAGTATAGATGTTTTCCGCTTCCTCTCGCCCACGACCGCCAAGTAGGCGTATACGGTATGGGCGACGAAAAAAATATTGAAACGTTTCAACCTACAAATAGTGAAAAAACAGAGGGGAGAGAAAACGAGAATGGGTGACGTTTACGCTTTTCTCCTAAATGCATTCTATTGGCGTGGCGACGGCAAAACAATAGGTCTGTTCGATTCGGCCAGAAAGTTCTGAACTAGTTCTGTCCGAGTTCAGACAAGTGCAGGAGTCGTGCAGCGGCGGCGCAGAACCAGTGCAGCCGCCGCGCTAGGATTGGCGCTGTGATCGGCTTTTCGAGCGGAAGCGCAGGGTGTCGTCTGCATCTGTTGGCTCTTGTTTCTCCACGCCACGTTGTATGCTACATATAACTAGTCGCGGTTTGAGGAGACCATTCGCGTTTCCTTAGTTTTAAAGTATAATAACGAAATGTTTTCTGTGATTATATTGTATCCAAGTGTTCTAAAAACGTTTTCTGCACGAAATGTTTCTGTCTGAATTTTTAACGGCCGTTCGGTTCCTGTCGTTTCCATAAGCGTTCGTGTCCTTCACATTAATTTAGCAATAGTAGATTTATTCCAGGTCTCTCGAGTTTCGCATTTCGACGATAGGTTCGCGGCATCAGGATGATTTTGCGTCGGGAGTCACCGGCGGCAGCGCGCGGTTGGTAGTGATCACCTCGAAGACGAAGGCCTGACGATAGCGTTTTGGCCAAGACAGTTATCGACCGCAATTTTGGCGTCAAGCTGAAGCGTTTATTCTGATTCTCAAGACCTGCGTGGAACTACCAAGCCAATGCCGATTCTCGGCGTTTTTCGCATGCCCTTTAGTGGGCGTCCACAGATAAAAGCGGACAAAGCATGCAGTATTATGCTCAGCTAGGGGGCATGCGAGGGCCAATGTACTAAATCCCAGATCTCTGCAATGTATCGGAGTCGTCAGTATGCATCCAAGAGCAACTGAAGGCGGGGACTATCAAGAGTGCAATACATTTCCCGTGTCTGTAAGGAAGAATATCAACACAATCCCCACATAGCATCAAAATGAAAGAATTTACGTGAGCCAATGATTCAACACTTACCACAGGGAGCCACACCTACGCGAGCAGGTGCCTAAAACGCTTTCAACATATAATAATAAAGCAAATTTCTACCCTCGGTTATGATCTCAATTTTGCGTCCACCGCGGGTACGTTAGTATCATAAACGAGAGGAAATACAACCTCAGTATCGGCGTTGTTGTTAAACATCGCAGACATTTGAGCAAGAGCTGCAAAAAATGGCACCGCGAGCAGAGACAGAAGAGGAGTGTCGTCTGCTATCGCCGTCTGCTCTTGTCTGCTTCTGCACGGACGCTGAACTGACTCCGGAGCCGGTGCACGATTTTAAGGAACTAGGTCTGAACTCGTTTAGAACTGGGATGAATCGAACGCGCCAGTGCAGCGGCCGTGCAACTTCCGGTTTAATCGAATGCACCAGTTCCTGCACTGCTGAACTGGTTCAGCCAGTTCAGGCGAATCGAACAGACCTCAGGATTGTTTGTGCAGCACCGGACATCCTTCCCTCCCTCCATCGCGGAGCTGACGTCACAGCGCCGCATCGCTAAAGCCGGACGTTTTCGTCGCGAGATGTGTGCGCCGGGGAGAATTCCCCGGGATTTCTCCGTCCTGTGAATAGCCAGGAGGGAGAGAGAGAGAAGTGTTGAAAAGGAGGGAAGCCTGGAACTACGCAGGTGCATACCGAGATGAATACCTAGGTGCATACCAGGTGAATACCCAGGTGCAGAGCGAAGATGTTCCGTGCCTCTCGCCGCTAAAGTCCCTCTATCCTGGAAAAACTGGCTCCATTTAGAGCCACTAAATGAGCTGCGCTTAGAGTATCGGCACTCCGTTCCTCAGCATTGTTGTGGGCGCCGCCATTTTGGCTCGTATGCCGAGCAGACGCAACTGCCGATCGTCATTATTCAAAAGATCGACTTCCTCAGGGTTAGATTCGCTGTTAGGAAGGTCAGGCAATATTGCTTTGCTCTGTCACGAACTGTTTAAACGGCTGTGGAGGGCGCAAAAGCCTTGCCTGTGATTTCAGATAAAGGTTCAGATAACTGACAACCATGATTTTAAGACACAATATGGCTGAGTGTCGTTACTCTGTAGCGTAGCTTATTTAGTGGCACTAGCTCCATTCATTGTTGTGGAAATGTTCGAGACACGTGCCGCGCGCCTATTCTGGGAAGAACATGGCGTCGGAAATCTAGCTCAGTTAGAGTGTACTAAAAGGACCGAGTGGGGCGACTTGCTTCACTCACCGCAACACGCAGACGTTTGGCGAGAAAGAAGTTAATCGAAATTTGAAGGTTCATATTTTCGAAGCTCGAAACGTGTCAAACAAATACCCACGATGTTGTTTTCAAACAAACTGCGCGTCTAATCTTTTCAGTATAAAACAGGAAGGCAAGATAATCAAAAGCAGGTAGGCTCGTCCAAATACAGATTCGCACTGAATCTTGCATTCTCATCCAGCGAAACAGAGCAAAAACCGGACCAGTGAATAAAATTTACGAAGCAACAAAGATCGACCTAGCTTTCTCTATTCTGACGATGGGGGCAATGAAGACACCAGCTTTGTGCCGCGGGCTTACACTTGACAGCGCGCTTTGAGGCGATTCCGTTTCCGTTCGTTTCTAAGCGCTGCATCCGGAGATCGTGAGAACTAGCTCGGCTCGCTTGTTTTACTGGGCAGCCGAGTGTTTGACAGGCCGGAGCAGAGCGAGCGAGAAATCTCGGGGACCATCGGTGTAGTTCTCAATTTAGTCACTAAGGCGCGACGGTTCTTCTCAATAGGTGGAAGAAGATCTGCGAGAAGAAAAAGACAGAGCAGCTCCCCGATGGGCCTTCTCTCAAAAGGAACACCTTTTTCCTGGGAGGACACCAAGTCGCGATGCGAAAGCGTTCGTCAGTACGGCATCGCGCAGTTTATCAATCTTTACCATCATGCCCGCCATCGTCGAAACGACTGCCTTCTCTGGGGCGATGAGATTGAGTACATGCTCGTTCGTTTCAACCACAGCCAGCGCAAGGTGCAGCTACTGCTCCGGGCCGCCGAGCTCATTGGCATTCTCAACAAAAAGGAACGAGAAAACCCGGAGAGCTGCCGCTGCTCTTGGCACCCAGAGTTCGCCGCCTACGCAATGGAGGCCATTCCGATAGAGCCGTACGGGGGGCATTTCGCTCACTATAACGCGGTAGAACACAACATGCGACTCAGGCGTGCCGAAGTGAGGACCCTGTTGAACAAGAATGAAGAGATCATGTGCATCACCACTTTTCCCATGATGGGTTGCGAGGACTTTACCTATCCGGAGTACAAACCGTCACTCGCCTCGACAAATATGCCGTCCTTGTTCGTCCCCGAAGAGATGATCTATCCAGCGCACTCTAGGTTCACCACAATGGCACGCAATATCAGGCAACGCCGCGGGAAGCGCGTCGTCATCAACGCTCCCATATACAAGGACATCAACACTCCCAGTCCCTTCGTCGAAGATTTTCGGAAGCTCGACGATGATGGCGAAGCGGCGAGTGGTGCGATTTCTGATTGCATATACATGGACGCCATGGGCTTTGGAATGGGCAACTGCTGTCTCCAGGTGACCTTTCAAGCCAGCGACATCTCGGAAGCGATGACCCTTTACGACCAGCTGGCGAATCTGTGTCCTCTTATGCTCGCCGTGGGCGCCAGCAGCCCCGCATTCAGAGGACACTTGGCGAACGTGGACTGTCGCTTCAACGTCATTAGCATGTCCGTGGATGAAAGGACGGAAGAAGAAATGGGTAAGACGACTCTGCGAGGGAAGAAGACTATCAACAGGCTGCGTTACTCCAGCATTCCCTGCTTTCTTTCGGTCAAAAATCAATCGCTTAATGACGTCTTGTTGGAATTCAACGAGGACATTTACGCAGTGCTTCGAGAAGCAAACGTTGAAGAGTCGCTGGCAAAGCACCTTTCTCATGTGTTCATGAAGGACAGTATTGTACTTTACGAGGAAATGATGTCGCAAAACAACGAAGCCGACTTTGATCATTTCGAGAATCTCCAGTCAAGCAACTGGCATACGTTAAGGTTCAAGCCACCGCCGCCCAACAGCGATATTGGATGGCGGATCGAGTTCCGACCCATGGAACTGCAGATGACAGAGTTTGAAAACGCTGCGTACATTGTCTTCGTGGTTCTGGTGACAAGAATCATTCTTACTTTTGACCTAGACCTGACCGTGCCCATCTCCAAGGTGGACGAAAACATGCAAACGGCGCAGAAGGTGGACGCTGTCCTGAATGAGAAGTTCTGGTTTCGCAAGGACATTTTCACTCACGGTTGCGCTGACAAGAGCGCAAACTCTACTGACGTCGTCAAGATGACCGTGGCCGAGATTTTCAATGGCAAGAAGGGGTCGTTTCCAGGATTCATTCCGCTCATTCGGGCCTTCCTGAATAGTGTCGAAGAGGTGGATGTCGCGACCCACTGCACCTTGCATCAATATCTGACGTTGATCGAAAAGAGGGCATCAGGCGACCTCATGACTACAGCTCACTGGATGCGTAAGTTCATTACGTCCCACCCGGAGTACAAGAGTGACTCTGTCATCACCGAGAGCATCAACTATGACCTAATCATGCAAATGTTCAAGCATCAACATAACTTCTGGTCCATTCCCGAACTCTTGGGGACGCCAACATCGAGGCCAAGTTCAGAATACACTTGAATGCCCGCGTGCTGGCAACGATCAGAGGATGGTCAACCGCGCCACTTTCTATTCGTGTATAAATAACAAGTATTGACTTCCCCTGGTCGTTATATTTGCCCGAAAATAATTTCTCTCTTTCTCTCTCTCTCTCCATCTCTACTTTTTGAAGCAAGGCTTGCCATACAAATGAAAGTTATTAGGCACACAGTTGCTGCTCATGAGAAATCCCATCCTTGGTAGTAATTTCAGCAGTAGGCTGGACCTACTGCGGACGCAGTAGGTTCAGCCTGTTGCGTCCGCAGGGGACCGTCGGCGGCGAGTCATGCTTAGTCCACGGGGAACTGTTGGCGTTCAGCATACTTAGTCCGCAAAAGAAAGACGGCAGCGAGGAAAGAATTCTACTTGGATTGCAGCCGACGCCAGGATCCGATGGAGCCAATCAAGCAGTGAGTGCTTCGTCACGGCGCTTGTTGTCTTTCTGCTATCGGCGGCTAAAACAATCCCGAAAGGCCACACTGCGTTCATTGTGCAGTCCGGAATAGCAAATACTAATAGGCGCCATGTCGATGCACTTTCTGCACTGCTTCATCGTAGCGTCGGCTGCGGTGTGTGTGTGTGTGTGTGTGGGCGTTGTAAATGAAGATGAGGGTGGAAAATGAGTTTACCATACCGACAACAGACCATGAACCGATAACATATCGGCAGTTTTACACGAAGCCATCTAAATAGCACAATTTTTTTTTCTAGCAGAAAAACAGACTCCATGCTCACACGCTTTTGACCCGTTTCTGATAAAAGCAAGCTTTAATAATTTCTCTCTCCCTCTTTTCATTCGCTTTTTTAACAAACTTCGTCGAATCTAAAATTGCTTCGAAATCGCAACTCTCATAATGCTCCGCGAGATGCCTTCCCCCCTCTTCCCCGAAATTGTTACGTACAGCGAACTTGTGCTAACTCGCCCTATCATTAAAACAACGCCCCGTCTGTCCGATATAAACACAACCACAACTAAAGGAATTTCGTTAACCACCTTTGTAACAGGTACAGTGTACTTCGTAACATGTTTCTTGGAACACTGGACATGCTTTTTAATCAACAAGGCCCCGCAGATCTTGGAAAGCTTTCAAGGGGCTGAAAACAGAATATTAACTTTGTGCCTGGCAGCAAACTTTTTTTTTTTTTTTTAAATTGCGCTATATCTTAAAGGGGCACTCAAGTGCTTTTTGGAGAAGCTTGTTTTTGGAAGCATATTGTTTGTTGGGCTTCAGTCAATAAAAAAGTGAAAACTGCTTACAACTCCCTGTAACGCCGAATTAGAGCGCAGCTCTTGAGGAGGAGGAGGGAAGGGCACCGGGGGGGGGGTTAAACTAACCAGGGAGGGGGTCACGTGACCTTAGGGGTCACGTGACCCCCAATGCCGATGATGTCATCACTGACGTCACTGATGACGTCATCAGTGACGATGACGATGCGGGTACCGATGACGTCATTAGTGACGTCACTGATGACTTCACCAGTGATGATGACGATGACGATGCGAATGTCGGTGACGTCATCAGTGACGTCACTGATGACGTCATCAGTGATGATGACGATGACGATGCGGATGTCGGTAACGTCATCAGTGATGATGACGATGCGGATGCCGGTGACGTCATCAGTGATGATGACGATGCGGATGCCGGTGACGTCATCAGTGACGATGACGATGTGGATGCCGTTGACGACATCAGTGACGTCACTGATGACGTCATCAGTGATGATGACGATGCGGTTGTCGGTAACGTCATCAGTGATGATGACGATGCGGATGCCGGTGACGTCATCAGTGACGATGATGATGACGATGCGGATGCCGGTGACGTCATCAGTGATGATGACGATGACGATGTGGATGCCGGTGACGTCATCAGTGATGATGACGATGACGATGTGGATGCCGGTGACGTCCTCAGTGACGATGACGTCATTGGGGGGTCACGCGACATCGGCGGGGGTCACGTGACCTCAGGGGAGTCACGTGACCTCGGGGGGGGGTCACGTGCCCCCCACGAGGTCACGTGACACCGGTGGGGGGCTCGCGCGGTGCATTATGGGACATTTCCCATGATGCACCGGGGTCACGTGACCTCGGGGGGGTCACGTGCCCCCCACGAGGTCACGTGACCCCGGTGGGGGCTCGCGCGGTGCATTATGGGACATTTCCCATGATGCACCGCGCGGTTACGCCGACGCCGACGGCGACGGCGACGCCGACGGCGACGCCGCTCAAGCCGGAAGCGGGCCCCTAAGAGCTGCGCTCTAAAATGACCAGTTCTAAATGGCAAGGCGCCCTAGTAAACTCACAGCAATAGAAATACACAGGCACTATATCCTCTTGCGGGGTCCATCCCGTGTCTCCACCACCTCCATAGAATTCGACCAATAGAAATAGCGAACTGCGAAAAGATTGCTAAAGTTATTATTATTGCTCTTTTTAGGCACATGCACATTAAATTTTGACAACAACGTCAAATCTTTGGCTGTAGGTGACGTAATACAGCTATTATTGTTTGAAAAAGAGCGAACTACGTTTTCTCCTCGCCTTGTTACGCGGGAGTGATGTGCCCACGCACATCACCCCCGGGTGTGCTACAGGCCAGCTGTAGCACACCCGGATCGAGGCACAGCCCCTCGAAATCCGGGTGGCTTGTCACACAGCTCTGCCGGCCCTGCTGCTTGCGAACGGCGGCCGGGTAGTCACGGCAGCAGACACACTCTGCGACGGTTTCCATCGGCACGCAGCAACTGCAATGGCACCTTAAAACAGAAAACCAGCATCAGCTATACATATGAGAGGTATAATAAACAGCTCATCACCTACCAGTTGGTGTTCCCAAGCCGCTGGGTTGCGTCGTCGGTTTCGTCGTCTTCCTCCGGTGTCGACATTGAGCATCGCGAACTGTCGTCCGAGTCCGTCGCGTTCGGGGCATCGGCGTCGCGCGTAGGAGTGGCGTCGTAGGAGATTGAGCTGATATCTGCCGTCCGCCGAAGAATTTCCACCTCCAACGGTGTTAGATTTGGCAGGTCCATCTCCGCACGACGCAAGACCCGAAGCTCTGTGTAGGCATGTGGACGCAATTCCTCCTTTGACTAATTTCAAGTGGGAACCACTTAAGGCCACGGTCCCACTGAATGTGGCAGTTTAGGTACTTTTTGGCAGGTCATTAATCATCTCCTTTTAAATACTGTTTTGCGGGATTGATGTCACTTGAAAGGCAATGCAATCCTCTTTCATTTGATATTATGTATGTGTTGGTTTTTACTGTTCATGCGCATTTGTAGGGTTGCGAATATGATGGCGCGGACCCTCACTTGCTCCGCTAGTTCATCTTCTATGAACGATCCATTAAAGATAGCACGGTTCCAATATAGCAGTTTTGTTAAGATGATGTCGGAGCAGAATGTAACGATACACTTTTTTGGTATTTGCACTACTTTGTTTTAGAGCGCAGCTCTTAGGGGCCCGTTTCCGGCTTGAGCGGCGTCGCCGTCGCCGTCGCCGTCGCCGTCGGCGTAACCGCGCGGTGCATCATGGGAAATGTCCCATAATGCACCGCGCGAGCCCCCCACCGGGGTCACGTGACCTCGTGGGGGGTCACGTGACCCCCCCGAGGTCACGCGACTCCCCTGAGGTCACGTGACCCACTCCTCAAGGTCACGTGACCCCCTCCTCGAGGTCACGTGACCCCCCGAGGTCACGTGACCCCCGCCGATGTCGCGTGACCCCCGATGACGTCATCGTCACTGATGACGTCACCGGCATCCACATCGTCATCGTCATCATCACTTATGACGTCACCAGCATCCACATCGTCATCGTCATCATCACTGATGACGTCACCGGCATCCACATCGTCATCGTCATCATCACTGATGACGTCACCGGCATCCGCATCGTCATCGTCATCATTACTGATGACGTCACCGGCATCCATATCGTCATCGTTATCATCACTGATGACGTCACCGGCATCCCCATCGTCATCGTCATCATCACTGATGACGTCACCGGCATCCACATCGTCATCGTCATCATCACTGATGACGTCACCGGCATCCACATCGTCATCGTCATCATCACTGATGACGTCACCGGCATCCGCATCGTCATCGTCATCATCACTGATGACGTCACCGGCATCCCCATCGTCATCGTCATCATCACTGATGTCACCAGCATCCACATCGTCATCGTCATCATCACTGATGACGTCACCGCATCCACATTGTCATCGTCATCATCACTGATGACGTCACCGGCATCCACATCGTCATCGTCATCATCACTGACAACGTCACCGGCATCCGCATCGTCATCGTCATCACTGATGACGTCATCAGTGACGTCACTGATGTCGTCACCGGCATCCGCATCGTCATCATCACTGATGACGTCATCAGCGACGTCACTGATGACGTCACCGACATTCGCATCGTCATCGTCATCATCACTGGTGAAGCCATCAGTGACGTCACTAATGACGTCATCGGTACCCGCATCGTCATCGTCACGGATGACGTCATCAGTGACGTCAGTGATGACATCATCGGCATTGGGGGTCACGTGACCCCCAAGGTCACGTGACCCCCCCCTGGTTAGTTTACCCCCCCCGTGCCCTTCCCTCCTCCTCCTCAAGAGCTGCGCTCTAATTCGGCGTTACAGGGAGTTGTAAGCGGCTTTCATTTTTTTTCATCCCTCCAAATATTGCCCTAAAATTGACATTTTTCAGCACAAATATAGTTTTAATGACAAGCGCTAGGGCAATGAAATTAGCTACAGATGTAGTGCTTATAATTGGTAATATGCAAAAAAAATTAATGTTGTGTAAAATTTTTTTGTTTAGATATTTTATATCAAACGTAGCACGTTTTAGTGCTTCGAGTCATGGTACTTCAAATGCCGCTGAGGAAATAATTAAGCTATGACAAAATCTTTTATAACATTTAGAGCTACAATGGTTGCCCAAGAGGTGGAC